TTTGATTTGGTTTAATTTTCCTCAGCTTCAGCTTGAATTTGCATATGAGTAGTTGATGGTCTGATCCGGGCTATAGTCTTCACAATTACGTGCTATGCATCAGAGAGTTGGATATTGAATAGGGTTGATAGAAAGAGAATTGATGCCTTTGAGCTGTGGTGCCGGAGAAAAGTGTTGAATATACCATGGACTGCTAGGAGAACAAACAGGTTTGTCCTGGAGAAGGTGAAGCCGGAATGCTCCTTGCGTCAAGGATTCTGAAGCTTCATCTGACATACTTTAGGCATGCTGCAACGAGGGACTTGTCCTTGGAGAGGGACATCATGTTTGGCAGAGTGGAGGGGCTGTGAAGAAGAGGAAGACCTTCGATGAGGTGGATAGATTCTGTGACTGGAGCGGTGGGAAGAAGTGCGTTTGAGATGGCTAGGTTGGCACAGGATAGAACAGTGTTTAGAGCTCTTGTACAAAGGGTAGCTACGAGTCGCAAATGACTCGATGGCACATAACAACAACAACAACAACATAGGATTTTTTAACATTGCATCTTGAGCCTTGAATCTTTTCCTAGGATTCTTTCAGCTTTAGCAATCCTGAGTGAGTTCTTCCCTTCTGGTTTTCTAACTCTAGGTTTTTGCACATTTTATTTTACTTTTGCACTGTTAATCTAACCAAAACCTGCTGCTATTAACTTGATTCAAATTCAGTGACTATCCATTGAATTTCTGAGGCTGTAAATTTTTTTATGGTGAGAATGCTCATCTTCTTCCTGCATATCACCTGGTGTATTTGAACTTTTGAACAAGTAGCAGGTCTACAAGTAACATACAGTGTCATTACAACTCCTTACTCTTAAACTATTGTGCTCTGTATTACGAGCTAAGAGAGGATAGAGTCTGGGATAATTTTAGGTTCTGTATTGTGCCTTAAGTATCTCTAGCAAAACAACTGTCAAACAATTGGGTACTAATTAAAATGTTAGCAGTTTTAATATATTGAAATTAAGGGCCCCTTGTGGGAAAAGATGAGGCAATCTGTGTAAACCCTACAGTCTGACCACCTCTAATGGGACAGTTCTACCTCTGTCACAAGAAATAATTACAATATGAAAATGAACTCAGTAGCACCAAATAACAACAGCAACCACAATATGATGCCTTATACATTACTGTTCACTTAAATTAACATTGATGAAATTTTAACCTTTATATTCATAACATTATTTCTTTGACAGATCAACAGAAAAATGGTGATATGAAGCCAATTCAGAATTTTACAACAATATCAATTACACAGGTATGCCTACATCAGGAAACTGTGTTGTGTTTTTCTAAATAAAACAATTAGATATATTTGAATCATATAAGATTCAGTGTAAAATTGTAATTTTTTTTCTATTAGCCAATATATTTACTTAAATGTAAACAAATACATTAAGATAATCCTAGTAGGGAAAAAGACAAAGCAAAATAAAGTATTTAATTTTACTTTCTATCTTCTAATTAAAGAACTCTTGTAGTCTAGTGGTTAAGGAGTTGTACTGGCAACTCAAAGCCTGAGGGTTCTAATCCACCAGCTGCTCTTCAGAAGAAAAATGGGCAATCTCCTCCAGTGTGATATACAGTTTCTGAAAACCCACTGGATCAGCTGTGAGTTGGATCTGATTTGACAGCAGTAAGTTAAGTTTGAGCTGATAACCTGGTTCATAGAGAGTTCAGCTGCAAACCATTGGAATCCACCAACAACCCCTTGGAAAAAGATGGACAATCTCCTATCCATGCAATTTATATAGCCTTCAAAAGCTAAATGGAAGATTAGATATGTATCATTCCATTATCTGATTTTACTTTTGTTGCTGTCCAGACAAAATCTCTTTGGCAACAGTTGTCTTTAGTTACTATGAGTGTGGACAGGTCCCTGTGTTTTTTCTCTACTGTGTTTACAGTGATTAATCTGTTATTATGAGTTACCTTTGTGTATATTTTTATTTATGAAGACCCCATGTGTGCAAGTGGAGCTGTGTTTAATAGGCTACTCAAGGCTGTGACCTATCAGAAGCAGATTATCAGCTCACTTTTTAAAGATGCCTCTGGATGTGTTGAACCACCAGTCTTTCTTCTAGTAACTACTCTTGCTACCCAGGTACTACTGTAGTTGGTACAGAAAAGTAGATCTTTCATATAACAGGGTTGCATTTTTTGCTTCCAGAATCAGGTCCTAACATGTAGCTTCTTGGTCTTCTTTAAGTGAGACTTAGAATGAAGTTAGAGTGGTGTGTTCTAAAACCTACTGCTGTCTACTTGGTTCTGATTCGTGGCGACCCTTCATCAGGTTTCCTAGGCTGCACATGTTAATGTGAGGAGGTTACACATCTTCTCTTAGAGCAGATGATGGATTAGCACTGCTAACCTTTTGCTTAGCAGCTATCAGAGCTCCTTTTGTGCATATTGTAGTGTCTGGAGCTGCACTGTCCAATATGGCAGCCACAAGCCCCATATGGCTACTTAAATTATTATTGTTGTTGTTAAGTGCCATCAAGTCATAGGCAGCTCATAGTGACCTTATGAAAGAAAGACCTGGACACTTGTATAACTTTTATCCTTTCTCCAGGTACGTAGGGTTTCTGGAGGCACGCTATTACGGAAGTGGATGCTACTCCTGCTTCCAAGCTTGTTTTAATTAGGGAACTCCAGCAAACACTGTTCACCATGGGTAACCATTATCATGTTTGACACATCAGTGTCACAGTGTTCAGCTTCAAAGCAACAACAAGTTACAGAGGTAACAGCAAGTGGACAGACCAGGGCTATATGACCTAAAAGAAATATTTGATCTCCTCAGTCTTTCTAGATGTACTTCCCATTTATAATAGCCTCATGCAGCTAGTTGTGATTGCCATGAACAGTGCAAACAGGGAATATATACATATCACAGAATGTTCTAATGGACAGTGATGGTCTAGTAGGGAGTCATGCTTGACTTTCAGAAAATTTTGTTTCTTGGACATGCTCACTTAATGCCCTTATGTTAAATCCCTGGGTGGTTTGGATTTTGTGATAGTGTTTTCTAAAGAGATTACTACGATTAGAGTTTCATAGCATGGTGATTTTTTTAGTCTGGTCCCTAGAGAAAGACATCATGCTTGGTAAAGTAGAGGTAAGTGAAAAATTGGAAGACCGTAAATAAGATGAAGTGATGGGCTCAAGGGCAGCAGAGATTGTTAGGTTGGCTCAGGACTGGGCAGGGTTTTGTTTTGCTGGTATAGGATCTTTATTGGTTGGCTTAGACTCTGTTGTTGTGTACTGTCGAGTCAGAACCAACTCATGGATACTCTCTGTAAGTCTTCAGGGGCATTAATCACATGGGAGGAGATTGCCCATCCTTCTTCCGTGGAGCAGCTGGTGGATTCAAATCATGTGCCTTTGGGATTGCAGTACAGCTTCTTGCCACTAGGCCACCAAGGCACTTAATAAAACATTACTCATGTTATTGACTCAGTGACTAGGATAATGAGAGTAGGTTTGTCATTGTTGTTGTTATGTGCCATTAAGTTGCCTGTGAATCATAGTGACCCTATGTACAACAGCTCTAAACCCTGCTCTATCCTATACCAATCTTACTGTCTCTGACATACCTACTCCCATTACCCCAGTTACTGAATCAATCCATCCCATCATGGGTCTTCCTCTCTTGCGCTGTCCTTTCACCCTCCCAAGCATGACGTCCCTCTCCAAGGACTGGTCCCACCTTACAACATGTTCAAAGTATATTAGATGAAGCTTCAGAATCCTTTCCTCAAAGGAGCAGTGTGTCATAGACAGTGAAATTGGCTCAAGATAGAACAAGGTTCAGAGCTGTTGTACACAGGGTTGCTATGAGTTGCAGAAACTTGATGGCACATAACAACAACAATGTTGTTTGCTTGGAAAGCTGGAGGGACAGCACAAGAGAAGAAGATCCTGAATGAGATGGCATGATCCAGCAACTAGGGTACTGGGGATAGGTGTGTGGGAAACAGACTGGCTCAGGATAGAGGAGGGTTCAGAGCATAGGGTCACTATGAGTCACAGGCAACTTGATGGCACATAACAACAACATTAATGTTTGCAAGGGTTTCCCCCCCCACCCCTAATGATTTAGACATTTACAGTTTTGTGTTTTGTGGCACAAGGTTAGTGTACTTTGCTGGTAAAGACTTCCTACAATCTTTTTCTGGTCTCTGACAACTGACCTACAAATTATGTGTAATTAAATCTAGACAGATAAGAGTTTCAACCGCCTGCAAGTTAGTCCTTTTATTTAGAAGAAGGCTTTTGTGCCACAGTGGGAAGACTTTTCAATTTCTTTTATTTGATTAATTAGGCACTCAACTATAATGCAAGTGAGCAAAGACACCTAGGAAGAGGACTTCTGAACGCATCCAGCCATCACAGCCCCATTAATGTCTCCGCTGATGGGACTCCCTGCATCCTCTTCTGGGCCAAAAGAATAACAATTAAATTTAAGAATCAGACCTGGCTGGACCTTACGGATGAAGTGCTTGGTCAGAAGGCAACAGTGGATGCTGTCAACTCAAACTGCAGCGATGAGAATGCCACGTAAGTTGATCGTTCCCACAGAGGAAACCCTTTGGACTGTTGGAATCTGTGAACTGTGTAATCCAGCTTTCCGTCACTTCAGAAAGGAGAAGTGGACTTCTGTGTCTGTGACCCTGAAACACTTCTTTCGGAAGTGAAGTATTTAAAGTCTTAAAAGGAAGCACAAGCCAAGACTTAATTCAAAGAGGAAAAAAAAATGCTGCTATTTTCTCCCTAATTCTGTCACAAAGCTTGTGGAAAATGAGGGCTTTGAAAATGAGGGTTCTTGAAGTAATTATGGAGAAAAGAAAATGCTTCAGGCATGGTATTTGCCCCCAAAGTCAGATGTCTGCAGATTTTGATTCATCTAGGAAGCCTGGGTACCCAGAGCACAGTCCTACAGAAACTCGTAAATGAATCAGAGGAGGCAGATCTGGGAGGTGTTTGAGTATAAAGGGGCACTGATAAGTGGGGGCATATTTTCTGCTTGAAAATATACAGAAGTCTCTTAGAATGACCCCATTTCAGAGCATTTTTTTAGGATAATTCAAATTGATCAGAATAATTAGTTTTGAATTGTGTTAAGCAGATTCAACCCTTTCAAGGAGGAAATAATTTTCCATTACTATTCTTTATGTTTTAGTCATCCAAGTAAAATCTTCTGATTTGATTTGTTTTGGTCCAGTGGAAGGAAATCTGGCATGTCCCACTTGTTTTCTATAAACCTCCCTTCCAACATTTGATGGTATAATGGATGTTTTTGGAAGATTCTCTGTTATTTATTCTGGCCTCATTGTGATGGACAGGCTGCTGTGTGTGTAAGCTGTGGCATAGTGTGTGTTTATGGATTTTATATATTCTGCCTGGAAACACCGTTTTAACCCCTGACCTTTCTGTCACTTGAAAACTCTTGCTGATTGATGGGTAAAATGATGAGTTCTATTATGTATTTATAGGTCCATAGTAAGTGTCTTGCTATTCAGAATAACTGCCTTTTGTTAGAGATCCAGAGGATTGTAAGCGTAAGCATCCAACTTCTCTCCTGTTTGTTCATTCCTGAGACACCAGTTTTGTAGAGCTCAGGTCTCTTTTCCTCAGGCTATAATTAATTCCCTACAGGGCTTTTTCTTATTGGTGAGTTTTTGGAGAAGCTGGATGCCTGGGGATAATCTTGCCTGTTCACGGCTGACTGGCCCTCCCTGATTTTATTTGTCCTTACTTGAGGGTATTTGTGGGGAAAATCAAGGCAACACAGATTTTGCGGAGCTTTCAAGAGTTTAAGATATTATTGGTGGTTTTGTGGTAAGAATCTGCACTGCATTCTAAAAGGCATGAGGTTTGAATACACCAGCTGGTCTGTGAGAGAAGAATGACCTATCTCCTCCCATGCAATTAACTGCCTCTGAAAACTCACTGGAGGGTCAGCTATGAGTTAGTTCAGACTTGATGGTACACAACAACAATAGGAAACTAAAATGGAAACTAAGATGGAAAGAAAGAAAATTTGGCCAATAAACTTTGCAACTTTATAAACAGGATCCTTGAGATCACCAGTTGTGACATAGAGATGATGGCATCTATTAACTGCATATTAGACCTTGTGTGGTGCAAGTCGTTAAATGCTTGACTACTAGCCAAAAGTTTGGTGGTTCAAACTCATCCACAGGCACTTTGGAAGATAGGCCAGCCTATCAGATTCTGAAAGGTAGTATCACTGAAAACTATACAGAGAAGTTGAACTCTGCATGTATGGGGTCTCTATAAGTCAGAATGTACTCCATGACAACCATAAATAATCAGGCCTTGAACACTTATGGTTTAGAGCTGTATTGTCTCCACAGGTACACTATCCATCATTCTTTATATTATTATTGTGAGAATTACTACAGGCACTATCAAATCACAGAAGTTAAAACACAACACAATAACATTTGTCGACTTTATAAATATATACACACATAGAAAACATACAATTTTAACAAAGATAGCTCAGGATCAGGCTAAGGTCCGTTGTGTTCTATACAGGTTGCCATGAATTGGAACAGACTCTACAGTAACTAACAATAACAAGGTCATGTAATTTGGGACAGGGATCTAAAATATCTTTTAAAATATCTTTTTATGACTCCTTTCCTCTGGACCTACTGTTGTTGTTGTTGTTATGTGCCGTCGAGTCTTTTGCGACTCATAGCAACCTTATGTACAACAGCCCTAAACCCTGCTCTATCCTGTGCCAATCACATTGCTTCTGACACACCCATCCCAATTACCCCAGTC